TAAGGAACTTACATTAAGTTACCATAATGGGTATATATAGCAAATAATAAGGTTTCCCCAATATAGTAGCTTAATTTAAGTTCCTTAACAGCAACCCAGTAAGCCCTCAACCCCAATTTGCATCAGCTTCTCTGGTTTGGAATGGCCAGTCAGCTACTGTTGGTCTGGCGGAAAGCCCTGCAACTATGCTTCAAGGAACCAGTGAAGAGGTTAGTACGAAATTTTGGGTACGTGGGGTTTAGAGTTTAGTGAGACGCAACAGGTGCTGGAACGTAGGTGGCTCTCAGGTATTTGAACTCATCGGGCTGTGCTCAAAGTGAGCCTGTGTCAAATGTTGCCATACACCCTGTCGATCCGCAGGTTTCTTTCCAAACCAATCCCTAAACCCTAACCTGAACCCCCAAAGTATGTGGCCTGATGGCCATGTTTGCTATGTTTAATTACGGGTTTGGGGCTTTGGTTTACCTACTTTTGGGGTCTAGGAAACCCTGAACCGCCCTCAACCTTCTGTGAGTTCCTCCCACGCACTCAAAACCTTTATTCTGGCACTCCTTCACGTCGCTCAAATGCTACCACAATCAAGGCCGGACAAACGCCAGGGTCCTTATGCTAGAAGCCATAGAACGCCATTCGCAGTAGACCATTACAGGTGAGGGGCTGCTAGACTGCTCATCTTGTGTAGGCTTTCTCCACCCTTCGAATAATGTGTGAAGTTATTTGGAGACTGCCGCGGAGACTGCTGTCCTACAAACTATTAGTAGAACCGTTCCGCTCGGGACCCTGAACTCCGGAGCCTAAACCCTGATTCCGAAAACCTCAACCCTGAAACCCTTACACAGCCGCCCGTCCCTAGCCCCTGCCCAACCCCAACCTAAACCCCAAACCCGAACTCAACACCCCAACCCCCAGACCCGAAACTAAACCCGACTCCGTAAAATGAAGCCCCAAACTCCAAACCCCAGAACTGTCCTTGATCATGGAGACAGCGCATGAGCGCTCCTAAGCAGTCTTGTGGGCTGTGCCATTTCTAGTCATCCAAAATGATGACCTATAATGGCCTTGATAGCAATTTTCTGGTGAAAGGCATAAACCTCTCGGAAAAGCTACCATATTCTAACATTCCTTCCAACCCTAGGGTTTCCGGTACCTACGAATCATATACTTACCCAAAACCCGTACTGTAACATACGTATTACCCAAACTCCAAGTGTCTAATTGTTGGGTACTGTTACACTAAACCCTAAACCTTTTACACGTCTATCTATGAATCTATATATATATATGTACCCCTACATATCCATTTAAAAGGACTTGAGATTGGGTACTTGGACACTCTGGGTAAGCCTTCGTGCGCCAAATTACCACCTCACAGGGAATTGGTGAATGAGACTGTGTGGCTGACCTCTGTCTAGGTGAGTATATAGACATACCTAAACCTGGCTCAGTCTTCGCAAGTTAAGGGTTCAGGGATGAGGGTTTATTTGAGAGTTTGTCGGTTGGAAGGCTTAGACCCTAGACCCTGAACCCTGAGCTCTGAGCCCTATATAAACACTTTAGGCTTAGTCAGTGCGCTGCAAACATGCGAAGTCCATGAGGCTTACCTTCACCCCAACAAAAAGAAAAGCCACGTACCCAGACCTTTTGCATACCCTATACTAGGGTTTACCTAAACCCCCAAAGTAGGTAAAATAATGGCCCAAAACCTTTCAATGTAGCCCAAAAGGCCATTATTCTACATACCTTGGGGGTCCAGGTAGTGTCTAGGGTTGGCCTATATGGAGCCTGAAGCCCTGAGTTGAAGATACTGCAGCAAGGATTCTGAGCCAACTTCTCTAGATCCGCGCTGCGGAAAAGGGCCGAGGGGATTACCCTCCCCTAGCCCCACATACCCTTCCCTATTTGGGAGGGACCTAACTTCATATCTACTTACTATCTTCTATATATTCGAAAGTAGGTACCCTAGTAAACTGGTATAAGGGCGTAGGTAGGGGTCCCCACGATCAGGGTTTTTGTGTGTCAGGTAAGTAAGGGGGACTCCTCTCACCCATACCATACAGTCCTAGCCAAGATGGAACTCCAAAAGCAGCCCAACCCTAAGCTCTAAACCCTAAACTGTGTAGCTTTTAAAGCAGTCTACCTGAGGTTTGCTAGTCTAGGAGTAAGACTTCTTGGGGGCCACGCGTAAGACTTCAAGGTCCAAGCGGGAGTTCTGGCAAGGGCTGTAGGCAGGAAAGTTATGACTATTCACTAGTTGTAACCTTACTTGGGGTGCCTACAACCCCCTATACCCCGAACCCAAACCCCAATCCCTAAACCCCACTTGCAGATGAGCACAGTTTATGACTTGGATTCCTGGATTCCTGGGGTGTGCTGCTCCGGGGGTTGCAGGTCGGGCTTAGGGTGTTAGGGTTTAGGGAGACATGAAGCTCGCAAGCTCCCGGTTCCAGATTAGGGCTCACAGCGTTTAAGAATAACTTCAAGAAGACAAATATTTCGCTCAAAAGTCCTACAATGTCCCAAGATTCCATTATTGACCTCCTGCTGTGGTCTGGATTCGATGATGACGCAAGGGGAAATTTTTATGGTGTTGGTGCACCGACGAACCTCGAGATTCTTGTACGTGCTGCCTTGCCAAGGTCCATTGGAATAACTTTGTCCTGCATGACTTCCCCTAAGGGTCCAAGTACTCAATAATCATATACTAACCCAAAACCCATACCAAGATTACTATTACCCCAAACCCAAGCACCTAATCATTGGAAACTTGGACCCTCTGGGTTCAATGATTCCCTCCGTGAGGGGCACCTCAACCCTAAACCCTAAACCCTATAAATCCTAAACCCAAGGCCATCCTGAACCCAGGGTTGATGTATGCTCCGAGCAGCAACACCATTGCTGCCATTGTCGCGCGATATGCTGCAGGTGCTATTTGTGTCTTCTTTTGGGGCTCATGCACCGGATAGTACATGCGGCAGCCTGGGTAGTTTGCATCTGATGAACATCATATGTTCAATCCTTGAAGATTGCCGCGTACTGCTCATATCGCGTTGCGATTTTTGTAGTCCAAAAAGGCTCTGTTCTCGTTGCAGAGCTCGCGATATACCATTCCCCACACACAGGTCATGGGTTTGGGTATGTATCATAGTTAAGTCCTACCGTAGGATCCATTTTCTGCGCATACGCCTCCCGATCCGGATCAATGAGAGCAGTCTGCGTGCCTGCCGAATAAATGTCAAATCCAACCCCAAGCCCAAACCCCAAAACAACGCCCCTTGAAAGGGTTTAGGGTTTGGGGGCCCCTGAAATCTAGACTACAAACCCCGAATCCTTAACCTTAACTCGGAACCCTTTGCCAAAATTCTAGGCCCCGAAAGAAGCTGGGGTGTGCCACCCATCGGAAGCCCGTGCTCAGAACCTGGGCACGTCCAGGTTTTGAGGGTTGTTGGCAAAGGGTTTGGAGTCTAGGGTTTGGCTTTGGGTTTGGGAATTTGGGTCTTGGGATTGGAGATGCGGGATTTTGGGCTTGGGATTTGGGGCTTATGCTCTAAACCCTAAAACCAAACCCCTAAACCCTCAACCCGAAACCCTCAAGCCTACACACAAACCCTGAACCCAAACCCTATACCCTCAACCCTTTTTGGTACCTAAACGAGAGTGGCTTCAGGGATCCCCCAGCGTGCATAGACCCCGCGAGCCCGAGAGGATTTATCAAAGGCGAAGGCTGCAAGCTTGGGACTTGATTTGCGATTCCGATTTAAGGTTTGTTTTTTGCAGCGCCTTCTTCCATCTGCATGGAAAGCCTACTTAGGCAGCCGTAACGAGTTTGTCCAGGCCGAAAACACAATGGAGCTACACCAGAAGCCATTCCAGGGAGTAAGGCTGCTACCAGGGCCCCCATCAGCGATCCCCAACACATCCACTATATGAGGACAAAGGGGAAAAAGGCTGATTTAAGGTTTAGGGTTTGGGGATTAAGTTTAGAGAAGGAATTGGCAACACAACATTAAACAACTAGAATATGGCGGATTCTGCAGAGGAGCTACTATATAGGAATGAACTCCATTTCCTACGAAATACCAGCAAATCAACTTGAGTCCCCGCACCCTGTCCTTGATCTCAGCTGCTGGGTACTTGGTGCCTCTTGTAGATATATGCAAAAGTTGGGTTTAAACGGGGCATTCGCAAGGGCTTTAAACTCTTCTTATTTTTGCTATGTACCCACTTCCAACTGTTAGTGAGGTTGTACGGCACCCAACGTAGAAGCATCGAAGCAAAACCTTGCCGCAGCACTAGAGCTTTAGGGTTTAGAGGGTTTAGGCTTTGGGGGGTGTAGGGGTTTTGACTTTACCGGGTTGAGGGCTAAGGGTTGAGGAACCCGGGGAAACACTTCCTCACGAGCGCCAACATCCAAACACCTGAAGAATGCATCCCATAGAAATGCGAAGGGTATTCTTTTAGCATTTCTAAAAACCTTTATTTCCCAATATGAGGGCTACCCTTGGGGGTCCTCATCATACGACAATCGTGGCAAATACAGCGAGCAGGGCATGCCACTTGCACCTGTTCATGCGGGCATTGTTTTAGGTGCTCTCCTTCAATCGACACGCCCCACCGTGTAACGTATATGTACATATATATATATATAGATATACACACCAAAAGTCCTAAGAAGGCCTGTATACACCCACCCAACATACCCAACAATGAAACTCTACCTTATGTGAGGGCTTCCAACAAAAACTGGGGTCTCTCCGGGACCCTTCTAATTTTAAACGCTAAACATTATGTATCCCGACATTACCCTCACACCTCCTCGGAAGCGAGCCCCGAATTTTGCAAACTTCCATAAGCAATGTGTTTAGGGTGTCGAGACAGATAAGACATTATTCCTAACTATACAACACCAAAGACTTAACCACTTAACCCTAAACCCTAAACTCTTAAGCCTAAAGCCTAAAGCCTAAAGCCTAACAGAAAGGACTGTTGTGGCG